CGTTATTATTCATTCAATAAGCATCAAAATACGCATAAAACTAAAACTAAGGGGGAAGTAGAAGGTAGCGATCAAAAGCCCCATCCTCAAAAAAAAACTGGACGAGCACGTTCCGGTTCTCGTTATAACCCCCAAAATCGGGGAGGGGGAATAGTTTTTGGACCAACGGGACAAAAAAAATGCTCTTTAGACATTAATAAAAAATTCAAAAAAAATGTCCTTCAATCACTTCTGGGGGAAAAAATGAGAAATAAAAAAATAATAATCATTGATAAAATAATGCTTGCTAATTATAAAACCAAAGAGGCGGAAAAATTTCTTGACTTTTTGCCAACTAAAAAAGCCACAACTTTAGTTGTGCTAGCCAACGAGGAAGAAAATAAAGAAAAAATAATTTATTCTTTTCGTAATTTACCTTATACCGAGGTAAGCGATAGTAAATCTGTTAACTTTTCACAAATATCATCTCCTAATTATCTCGTTTTCACCCATTCGGCTTTTTCGGAAGTAGAAAAAAGATTGGGCTAATCAAAAAACGTATAAAATTAAAATTATGTTCGGCTGGCTAAAAAAATTCTTGGAATGACCCCCACAAGGCATTAAAAATATTAGCGATTTGGGTAATTATATTAAGGATTATTGATGAAAATTATTAATTTTCATAATTGTTCTTATCGTTATGATTTGGGTAATAGTAAAAATCCTAAAGATGATTATTTCTTTAAGAAGAGGTAAATAATTTTCAGCATTAACTATTATTTTTTTGTTAAAAGAAAAAGAATATTAATTTTTGGTTCCTAAATGATTTGCTGAAAATTATTTAACTTTTGGTAGGACTAGGTGGATTCGAACCACCGGCCTCACCGTTATCGGCGGTGTGCGCTAACCAACTGCGCTATAGTCCCATTTACTTTTCAATATTGGTATAAAAATTGCTGCTGGCTAATTGATTCTCTAACTCATGATAATAATCAATCTCTTCTTTGGCTATTAGTCGACAAGAAATTAAAGGCTTTCAAAAAATTTTTTCTTCTTCAATCACTAATTCTAATTTTTTTTCTTCAATAATCTTTTTTATTCTTGTCATTTCCTCTTTATTTGGAGAAATCAGTTCTCTTTTTTTTTCATCATAATTTGTTTTTTCTCAAATTTCGTTTGGTAAATAAGTAAGTAAATATTCTTCTAAATTATTGTCATTGCCCTTTAAATTAATTTTAAGGCTATATAACGGTTGAAAATAATTCGGCAAGGAGACGGGAGTTAGAGATTTTAATTGTAATTTTTTGACTAAATCAGCCGGAATATTTTTGCCCCCTTCTAAATAAATTAAAATGCCAAAAGGAGCCTGGAACAAAGCCCGAGTAGAACGACTTTCCGCTGTGCTATTCTTGAATTTTTCTCAAATCTGATAAACTTTTTCTTTAGGAAAACTGTGTTCTCGGGCAATGACAAACGCTTCTTTCGGAATTTCCCTTTTCTGCCTAATCAGAAGTTCAATTTCCCTTCTGGCCGTCTGATGCTCTTGACTCCGAAGTTCAGATTGGCGATCTAATTTCTGTTCTGCACTTAATTCTATTAGTCTAACTCCGGCAAATAAGACATCATCAGGAGAGGACAAATAGCAAAGTAAATCATTATCAATTTTTATCTTTCTACCCGCAAGTTGTAGTTTAGAAGAAGGGAAATTGCTTTTATTTACAAGAATTTCATTTCCCATTAAGCCACTTGCAAAACAAACAGTTTGGGATAGGTAAAGTTTGTAATTGCATTCTTCTTCGATTGAGTGTAATATTTCAAAGGTTGTTGTTAGCATTTAAATCACGTTTAAGTTTGTTATCCTATAATACCTTTTTTCAATCATCTGCCACCCATTCATATTTTTATTTGTTAAATTCTTGCTGGTTTATTAATTGACTGTTAATTTGCCCTATCAATTTTTTATTTTCTTCTTGCAATTGCTTAATTAACAGTTCTTTTTGTCCCGACTCTTTACATAATTCTTTAATTTCATTTAACAATGGAGAATATTTCCTCACATGATTGGTTCCATAATGAAATTTTTTGTCTTTCTTTTCATCTTTTCCAACCTCTTCAAAAAGCACATTCTTTACTTCCTCTAAATTAATTTCTATTTTATCTAAATGTCTAATCGAGTCAAAAGGATAACACTTGGAAACACAAATTCTTGTGATTTCCTTATTTTTGTAACGTACACCTTTATCTAAATGAAAAACAAGATAATAGCCACCATCTTCTATTTGTTCTACTCTAAATGTTTGTCAATTTGATACTTCCTTTTCCAAAACCATTTTTATCTCTCTTTCCATTTCTTCTAAACGAAATTTACTGCGTTCTTCTCATTCTTCATTTTGCTTTAAATAATAATCTTCAACAATTTCTTGTGGCTTTACTTGGTAATTTACCACTCCTTTCTCATCTACTGAAAACCCCATTTTTTTTCTTCAATCTCTTTCGCAGAGCAGCCCAAATATTTCTAGATCAGTTTTGTGCTCGCCAGAATATTTTAACACTATTTCCAAAACCATTTTACCAAGAATTTTGTTTTCTTCTGATAGGAGATGTTTTTCTCTTAATTCAGTAAGAAGACGGCCGGTTAAATGTTCACGGTTATAGAGAAGTTTAATGAATTCTGTTTTTAGTTGTTCATCAGTTAATTTTTCCAACAACCAGGGATTAAGTTCAAAAACTTCTTGTACATTTTTAATATTCCCTTCGTTTTGTTCTTTGATTTCCTTATAATTTTCCTCGTTCGGTTTTACTTCCTGTACTATTTCCTTTATTGCTTCTTTTATTTCTTGTGTACCTATCATATTTTTTAAATTTTTATTTTTATTTATTTTTGCTAATTTTACAGACTAACAACTGTTTTTTTATCTTAGGCAAATTAGAAAGGGACAACCTTTCTGTATTGTCATTTTTCCATACCTTACTTTACAACATCATTCCTCATTAACTT